AGAGAGAGAGAGAGAGAGAGAGAGAGAGAGAGAGAGAGAGAGAGAGAGAGAGAATGACAGAAAAAAAATAACAGTGCAGGAGACGGTACGTGACACGCGCGTGTTGAATTCGCGGAAAAGTCGACCTAAATATTTAACAACGCACTTCAGCCGTGCCTTTTCACATCGCCTCATTTTCTTAATTATTCTCAAGTGCTTTTCCACCGGGGGTAACTAAAATAGACAAAGTACTCTTTTCGCGGTTTTCTCAATTTTTTTTCTTTTGCTGAATAAGAATGCACGAATTTCCCGAACGAGCGTTGGGGAAAACTCTGGGGAGAAAGGGTCGTTGCCCTCGACTTCCGCTTAACTCCGGGTATACTCCCTCCAATTTCCCGATTACGCGCCCTCGTGCAATCAATATACTAGTTCTCTAGTACAGCACGTATATGGGCAGCGTTGGAACGACGGTTCCAAGGCTCAGAATGCAAAAAATTCGGTTTTAACGATTCTGACAGGAAAAGGAATAAAATAATCGGGAAAATGACAACGGGAGAGGAATTACGTTGATTGGGGCTTTCCATGACATTTTTTTGCGTCTGGGGATGGAAACAGAAGGGAAAATATGAAATTTGTACTGGGGAGGGATAAATTGGAATATTTTTAATCGCCAATAACCCGACAATGGCGGAATGTAATTTAATAAATGGGTTTTTTTCATTTTATTTTAAAAATTCATCAAATTACTTGTGGAAACGAGTCAGATATTTCGCAACTTTTGTTCTGTAGTACTAAAAAAATATTCAATATTTTATTCTGATACAAATTCATGGATAACGGCTGTAATTTAATAATTTCGCATTATTTTCTAACAACTGCAATTTAATAATCCGGATCGTTTTTCAAAAAAAAAAAAATGCCCCGTAAATTAATCATCAATTCACAGAATTGAATGAAGCCTATTCTAATGTTACAGTAAGCTTCACCATAGACATCAAAGCGTACTGCCAAGTTCCAAGCGTCACGCACAAAAGAGCCCCCCGAAAAAAAGCCAACATTAAAAATCATAATAAAACCTCGAAAAAATGGTTTAGACTGTGAAATCGGCTTATTTTAACAGCTAGCCTGGGCCCACACTCGAGAGGTCTCACAACGTGGGAAAAGTTTATTGTTTCTTTCTTCTCCGTGCCCTCTTTTCGAGACCCAAAGAAGCCAAAAAAACCCAACCCATCGAATGTATTTTTTTCTCCTGCTGAATGAAGCTGGAGACGCTTTCTTTGTTCCTCCACTCTCCAACTAATTTTCGCCCCCAAGAAATTCGAGTGTGTGTATACACGATTTTTTTTTTCGCGTGTGGCCGTTCCGAGTGGCCTCGGATATTCGACCCTACAGCAGTGAGTCACTGCGCAGAAGAAAATGTGGGCACACCCTCCCTTCGAAACGATAACTTTGGTATACGCACCCTCTTACGTGCTTTTTCCATCTGAATCATGAGGCGGGTGGGAGGGGGACGGGGGGAACCCGTGTGCCCTCGTGCTCGAGAATCGATAGCCGTCCTGTAGAACGAGTCCTTGACCCAGGTCGACCACTTCCCCTAGGTGTAGCACAACGTCAAACTCATCTGAGTTAATTAGAAATATTGGATTCGGTGGGGTTTGCCGGAGTTTCATTGGAGAAAGCAATCCAAATCTCGTAAAGAGGATTGATGTTTCGGGGGTATTTATAAACGCATATTGATGGGATATTTTTAAAGTCATCTCCTTCATCTCAGGATGAATAACTCAGGTTTTTTATGGAGTTTTTGAAGTATTTTTCGGAAACAAATTTTTTTGAATTCATTATCAATGAAGATTTTGTGTATTTGAAGTTTATGTTGAGAGAATAGATAAATTGATTAGTATTTTTGAGGAGAGTGACATTGCATTCGATTAAAGAGGACAGCATTGCACATTCGAAATATTTAAGCAGCTGAAGACGAAATTTCCTTAATTTACTTGAATTTTCAATTAAAACAAGAATATTTAGGACCTATACGCCGAATTCTCGATTAATTAAACATTCATGAATATATTTGCGTAAATTTTCCTAATTTATTTTCATTCACTCATCTGAGTTGACCAGAAAAATTGGATTCGGAGGAGTTTGCCAGTTTCATTGGAAAAAGCAATCCAAATCTCAAAGAGGATTAATGCTTCATATGTATTTTCAGACGCATATTGATGGGCTATTTTTAATAATCAACTTTTTCACCGCAGAATGAGTGCCTGCGGTTTTTTATGAAGAGTTATTAACGGCTGGTAGGGGAATTTAGGGCTAACTAATCTGCACTTCGAGTATTTGATAACAGATATTTATATTCATGAATAATCAAGTGGCGCAAACATGTGCTTCGTTCCCAAATTAATGGTGATTAAATATTCATGGAGAGTGGGAACAATTAGAGCGAGAAGAAATTAAAATTTATAGCTGGCGAATATCAAACATAAAATATTTGACATATTTTTTAGTTGATACTGTTCATTTCCCAGGATTATCTCCGAGTCGGGGAAAAAAATCATTTACTCAATATATTATAATATCATTATATTGTCTCAAATTGAATTAATTTCTCTGCATCTTCGCAAAATAATTGAACTAAAATCTGGTTTCAATGACAAAATTCCTTGAAATTTCAGCCTAAATTTTGTGGAGAGACAAGAATTCCGTGAATTACTTGAATTTTTAACAAAAACGGATTTTTGGTAGCAAATTACGCTAAATTTTTGTAGTTTCTGTCAATTTTACGATTTTATTCATTACATCTCAGATCAATTATAATACACCCTGTTGAAAAAAAAATGAAATTTTCTGAACTGTTTAAATAATGAACCGTTGCAATTAATTTTGTAGAGGGTGCCGGGTGGTGGAAGTGTGGTTGTGGGGGGTGGCGTCAGCAGTGGATCGGCCACCCCCCAAGGTACACAGGCAAACAATCTAGTTTACCGTGTCGTGAGCTCGAGGCATCCCGGACACCATTCGCACGTGAAGAAATCGGATAGTTCGCAGCAGACCGAGAGCACAGCATTCAAACAGCAGCAGCAGCAGCAGCAACAGCTGAGTAACAACTGTTCTTCCTCGAATAATAGTAACAGCCAACAATGGAAGAAGTACATCGAGGCTGGAGCCGCAAGGGAGCGAGACAAGGAGACAACGCCATCGAGTCCTAGTCCCTCTCGACGATCTCAGGTAAATCAATATTTTCACACATTATCTCCTTCATTCCCTGGAGGACTTCGTTATGCTGATATTGAGGTTTTTACGACGTGTGTCTTTGTGCACAGGAGAAACACAGGAAGCAGACAATGGCTGAATACGCGAACGGTGAGAAACCGCAGAAAGTTTCTTCTGGTACGTCAACTGGCAGCAGTAGTAGCAAGGTCAGGGGTGTGCCGCAGAGCTTTGGCTATGTCAAGAGACACAGCGCTGGCACATCACCCAGTCCCAATGGGGTACAGAATGGAAGCAAGGAGGGCACTAGAACTGCACAAGTCAGTGCTGTACCTCGAACTAAGGTGAGATCATTATTACTCGATTATTTGATTTAGTCAAATAATAAAAGGATATTAATAAAAATAAAATTATTTATTTATCAACAGCGAATGCTTAAAAAAATGATAATTTACGCAAAATGTAATTTGAATGACGCTGAATATTCTCGATTTTTTTTTTCAAATTTTTCTCACGCAATTAAATTGACTACAAATTTAACTGAACTCCAAATCAACAAAAAAAATTACAATTCTCTCCAATTGAGTAGTTCCCTCAAAATTCTGACTAGCTGGATTAAAATATTATTTTTATCCCAGGTTAAAGTGTCCGGAGGCACTCAAACATGCACAACAGAGCTCCAAGCAAATTCCTCAAACTCGAGTCAGGGCCATCACTACAAGAGTTATAGTCTAACTGGCCCAAGTGCCAGCCAACTGTCCCAGTCGGTGCGTGATCGTCTGATGCTTGGCTCCCAGAGTTTACCGAAGGCAGGGAGTCCTGAGTTTACTGCCCTCTTCGCAGCTGCCCATCACCGCGATCGCAGCGGTGCTGGAGGACCAACGACCTCGGGCTTCTCACCTCGTGTGCTCAAACCATCAGACGGCAGTCTAAGTGACACCTGCAGTAATTACGCAGCACCCGATATCCAGGGATATTATGCACCCAACAGTCCCTATTCCACTTCTTGGATGAGACACAGTAACACGTACACGCCGAGTGGAAGATCCCAAGGTGAGATTTTCATTCTGCCTTTCCATATTTTGTTATAATTACTGTTGATTCGATAGAAATTTGCATTACGTATGGGTTAAAGTCTATTTAATCATTTTCAATTACCAAATTTTCCAAATGGTTTGAGTTTTTAGTTGGAATTATTTCTCAATACTTATTACTAATTATTTAATTATTTGCTAAATAGATTGAGTTTTCAGATTGAATTTTGCAGCATGTGAGGCCATGCAGCAATTATTTTTAACACAAATTATTCATAAAAAACGTCGGAATTATTTAATGAATTTTCTTTGGAATGGAAACTACAATGTTTTCTTAAGAGTCAAAACGTAAAATCAAGCCCAGACTTCAGACAGTTTAGAGTAAAATTAAGACGTTAATTAACTACAAAATACAAAATACTTAAATATTCATAATCTAAATATAGTTTTATTTTTTTCACCAATGTTTTCCACTTTTCAATTCTCAAACAGTAACAAAAACATTTTTATAATCACACTACAACAATGCATTAATCAATTAAACAAAATTAAATAACACTAAATGCATACTTGTCAGTTTTAGTAAATCAACAAAGCTCATTTCATTAAATGCACCTAGACTCATTGAATGTTCTCAATTACTCTGAAAATCTCAAAGCATTTTATTTCGCCTCATTGCCTCATTAGTATAAATTACCCTCAATTAGCTAGTCGATGAGATGTTAATTCCCCCTCGATGCATTAATTACGAGAAATCAGTGTAAAAATAAGATTTTTCCATTTTACCTGATTCGTGCGAAAAAAAATCGAGATTAATGCAATTTCAAACGGCTATTTCCTTATAGGTATGGGTCTCTGCGAGGCGGACAGCGTTGAATCTTTGGGATCCCATCGAACGAGTTTGACCCACGCTCTCCTCTTAAAACACCAGCGAGACTCAACAGGCTCCCCAGCACCACCAAGGCTCAATAGAAGTAATTCCATCAGGTGAGTAACACCTCTACCATCAGTATCTATCTGGTATTTTTTCCTCTGATCAACTGGTGAACAAGAGAGTGTCTTGAAACATTATGTCCCCTTTTAACGTACAGGATAATTCTAGATAAAAGACTAACTACTGACACATGATCAATCCACTTCATCGTATTTATTGTTATTCGTTTGAGAATTATTTTTTATTTGTTTAAAATGTTTTGCTCATTTAACACTGGAAGAAATAACTTTAACACGTAGACTTTAATGCCATTTTAGCCATCTCAGGGACAGGACTTTCCCAAGGTATAGAGTTACGTAAATGAATCAAGTTAATCACACGATGTTGAATTTTACTGAATTGAAAATAACAGTGATGATGATTTTTATGCATTGGTTACACATTGTAAAGGCTTATTGTTACCACAGTATACATAGAGAATAATTCGTGTGTTTGGGTTTTTTTTTCATCTTTCTATCATTAAGTTGTGCTCACGATTTTAATTGAACAAAATTGATGGATGAATTGTCGGATTATTTTGAGAAATCTTTCATGTTTTAGATTGTGAAGTGAGAATTCAGTCAATTTTGGCCAATTTAATGATAATTATATACTTGGAAATTTATTCAGCTGTGAAATAGTAGAATGTAACACCAAATATCTTTTTGAACTTTTTCACATATTTTTTTGGTCAAAATTAATTTCTAAATTTGTAATTTACAAAAATTATTTATAAACAATCAGTGTTCTATTCTAAAAATCATTTCTTCCGATTTTTGAAAGGTTTGACTATATTCACAATTTTATCAGAAATTAATTTCCTGCAAAATAAGTATAAAAATAATTTATGAGAAAGTTTGAAAATTTTCAATGATTTATTTATGAGAATGAAATATTAAAAATTTTTTGTAGAATTATCTCATTAAGAATTGATTTTATGGAAAATAGTCAAGCGATATTTTCACTGGAAATTTCCTCAGCTACAAAAAAAAAACAATAAGAAATGTTGACTTGTTACATTTTACACTTCACCGCAGGATTTATCCTGATGTAAGTACTATCGCCAATCTCTCTGCTTAAAATGATGAAAAAATATCTTTCTCTGTGGACTTATATTTGAAAAACACGTACATGAACAGCAGAACATCACCTACACTGGCTGAACCTCTTCGTCTCAAGCTTAATCGTCCTCTCGATTTTACCCACCAAAAATCCCCCTAGTATTTAATCATCCCTTCCATTTTGTTGTTCTCGAAGATCAACTAAAAGTGAGAAGATGTATCCGTCGATGTTGGCTCGTGGCAGTGGTGCATCGTCGTCAGTTGGTGAAGAGGGTATTGGCATTACTGGTGAGCCGTACTACAGTGTTCCAGTGGGCTCAGCAAGCTGTGCAGGTCAGCATTGGTCTCAACCGACTTCTCCAACCCCAACCCATGGATCGAGACAACCGCCAAATCTCTATCAACACGTCCACAAAGATGACGACAGTAAATATCACGAATTATTGACATTATAAATGTGACCCGTTATCCCCTCCCTGTTTTTTGAGTACCGCCAAGCCCACGAGGGGAGAAAAGTTGAGGAAAAATTATGCAGAATATCTCGGAAAATGTTAACATTATATAATGAAAAGTAATTGCAGAAGGAAATGTCATTCACGTTTTCTGACGTGATTTTTTATGGAATTCGGGATAAGTTGTATATTTTCCAGGCCCTTGTGGTGCTTTTAGTTCAGTTCACACAGTTTATAGAAAAAAAATTCTCAAGGTCCCGACAAATCCATAACCGAGAACAGATATCCAATTGCTAATTCAGGAATTGAAATGAACACGACATTGAATTCACACTTTGTTTCGCTTTCTCTCAATTTTTGCAGTTCACGGTTCCTCAGTTTCTCTTGTATCGACCGCAAGCAGTTTGTACAGCTCGGCTGAGGAAAAACATGCCCACGAAGTGAGAAAGCTGAGACGAGAGCTCCAGGATGCACAGGAAAAAGTTCATTCCCTGACGAATCAACTGACGACTAATGTGAGTAAATTTCTCATTCATGGGATTAATTAGGTTGTTACAGTGGGAGATGAAAAATGGGATTAGGTGGGGTCGTAAAGATTGTGGGCTGGATGCAATTGCGATTCTTACAAATGGATTTGTATTTTTATTCGAGATTTTTCTCGTTTTCACTTTATCTTTCACGTGCGATGAAAGATGATTGCAGATGTCCCCCTGGGAAAATTACTTGATTACTGGTTTCACGGGGAAATTGCGTATTTTATTCACTAGGAATGATCTTGATAGTACAGTCGTCAAATGAGACAAGTTAATTTCTGAGAATCTGAGGGAGATTTCCTGTGGAATTATCGCCTTTTATTTATCACTGCTATTGATTTGAAGAGGAGAATCATTTTTTATTTGGGAGAAAGGATCTGCTTAATCAATCCGTTGACGAAAGGTGCTATTCACTAAATAATTAACACTCAATATTGAATCCTTGAATAAACGCACCGTTTCTCTATCAAAAACGAACTTCACATCAAATTCTGCGATTTATTCAATTATTCCGGGTAATAAATATCGATTCATACATCATGATAGGACTTCATCATCCGCCACATGATAACCACGAATTAATACATTTCCAAGGTTTATACTCGGAAATTTACTTGATTACTGATTTTATGGGGAAATTTATGTCCATTTAACCGAAAATAATGACGATTAATCGATACGTTTCCAAGATTTATCCTCACCGTCACGATTTTCATGACTACTAAAAAAAAACCATCAATTCTCCCCCAAACGAGGAAACAAAGGTGATGCCATCACTTCCCTGAGACGAAACTCTAACAAAAGGTGGAGTCCCCCCTCCCCCCGAGTTTGACGTGTCGATCCCCCATTAAAACTCCATTCTCGAAATAATTAACCTCCCCCCAAAAACTTTGTATTTCTCCAATCGCGATGTGTGACAGGCACTCCCATAACTGAAATTTCTGAACTGCCCTGCACGAAAATAAAAATAATTACTAATTTTTTAACTAAAGATGAAATATTATTATTATTATTAATATTATACAATAATAATCACAATGTATTATATATTATATATTAGAATATAATATATTATAATAATATATATTGTTATTATTATCAACACTATAAATAATTATAATAGTAATTATTACTAAAAAATAGTTAAATTTTTATATGAAAAACGACAGTGATTTTTCCTTGAAGCATTGGTGACCATAAAAGGGGGTGCGTGCGAATTGTTACAGCTGTCATTGACGGTCATATGACACATTGAAATCTCTACTTGCCATATCGATTTCGATCTCTAATAAAGACATAAAACTCGAAAAACGCGCCAAATGTGCATCGAAAATGGCCCTGATGCTATTGGTAGCGATATAGAATTGTTCAATCCACCAATAGCGCAGTAAGGGCCAGCAGTATATTCTCTATCCAATGAAAGTCCCTCTTCGCACCATCTGCACGATCCAAGCGTGGAAGGGGATCCATAAACTACTGGTTGGGTCTGTCGTCAGTTGGCGCCGAGACGCGCAGCGCAGCGCATTCTCCCCACACCCGCGATCTCCTGCATTTTTCAAATTCAAATTTGTTTTGTTCAGTTGTCACTTCATTAAGTTTCATTTAAACCCCCGCGCGACCGGCGATCAGTGACACACGAGTGATTTAAAAAACGGTGAAATGTTTGTAAATTTAATTGCAGTAATAAACAACAGTGAGATCAAGTGCATCTGGTAATTATCGTGACTGAAAACCCTTGTCGTGATGATCGTCATCACGACGAGGAAGTTATTTTGTACGACTACAGGAGTTTATCATTTATTCAGCATAACCACCGTCAATAAACCATAATTGATGAATAATGCAGAATAAAAATGGGAGAAAAAAGTCAAGGAAATTGCTGGTTCACCTCGGTGGATCGATAATCTATGGGTTTCAGTGCATTGGATTAACACTCTGGTGTCAAATTTTTTATCAGAGAATCCTTTTGCTTCATCATCTTATCTATGACTGTGGGCTCTCGAGATTGTTGTTATCAGTGGGCTTGTCTACCCTGGGGCTACAGTTTTTTGGGAAATGGCATCGTTTTGGTTTGTTTTTGTGATCGGTTGCGTGGAGAATATTTTGATATGTATTTGTATTGTTAGAAAAAATTGAAATTTCGCTGAAATTACGCTGCATCTTCAATTAATTGAATATTCAAGAATATATTCACATGAAATTTCCTGTTTTTGATCGATTCTCATCGAAAAATTGAGCAGTTCCCAACGATTTAAAAAAAAAATTGGATTTCCAACGTCGGAATTCATTCGAAATCTCGGTAGAAATAAAATTTATAGAAATTTCCAAGAGATGTACCGGGAATTTATCGGAATAACGTATCGCCATCAATGTCGTCACGTCTCTACCAAGAAAAATGGAATTTTCCCGTTTGTCACTTTGAGAAATGTCGGTTTCTCGAGAAGAACTCATTACATTTTCTTTAAAAATCCTGATGATCCGCTCGATTCATGATGGATGGCTACGAGGGATCAATTGATCAAACGCTTATAAGGAGAATCATCTCCCATGGAACACAGGTAGTCACACAGTAGCTAACTTGCGTGACTCTGCAAGTTCAGTGTTAGAAAACGTACCCTGTTTTTACCGATTTAGTTCACGTAGGTGGGGTTTACGTACGTGAATAGATTTTCCCCAGGTATTACCGAAGTGTCGTGTACTTCAAGGATATTCAAGTACTTCAGACTTTTTTCAGTGAAAAGAAGTTTCAGTTTTCAGGAGAATATCCGTTATTTTTGTATTCAGGATGTTTATTCAAAACCATAAACACTTGAATTTTTCTTTTCACTGATAGACAGAGTTATCTCGTCCATAGGCGTCAGCGTGAGCCATAAAACTCGTCTTCGCACTGGAGCTTCATGAGGTTAGCATTCCGTGAAAATGAATAGAAATGGGGAAAACTCAGGGGATTATTTATTGGGGTTCTCTAAACAGGTGGGGTTTTCTCGCTTTCCGGTGAAATCTAAACACTTTAAACAATTTCCATCATTCATTCGCTCAAAAAAATTTCGACGTGTTGCAAAATCTAAATTTTCTCCTGAAAATTCGTTCAGTTTCAAGTTTTCATTTTTTGTGTTTTTGATTTACGTAATAAATCGTCGAAATATAATTTTTTTTTCACATTCTTTCATTTTTCTCGTTACAATATTCTGAATAAATGAATCGAAAAATCTAAAAAAAAAATTAATGTAGTTGATTATTACTAATTGTCAAAAAATTCTCCAAAAATATTAATTTTCTGGAAAAAAAATGAGGCAACGCTTTCGAAATTTCAATGCGATCTCTCGAAAAAATTTCCAAGTGTACATTGTACTCAGTAAAAAACTGACGATCCAAATCGATAACTTCACCAGTAGTTCCCCCCGATTACATTATTACTAGCACGTACACCAGCAATTGTATAAATAGACAAACGAATGTTGAAGAAGGAATGAGATAAATGGAAATGGGAACGACTGTGACAATGAATTGCCATGATAACGCCAATTAGCTTGACTCCTCACGTATCTATACAAAATGAGAGAGAAAAAAAAAAGCCCATCGATATTATTGATAATTTATTCTGTTGACTGTTGGGCCACCTCTCTCTGGTGGGAAAAACGTCTCTCGCATTTACAGGCACGTTTACACTGGGCCCTCGGTGCAATCGGACAAACGGCTCTTGAAAAAGGGACAATGGCCCCCACAGTGTTCTGTGCACGCACGTTTTCGTGAGTCCCTTTTGCCCTCTGGGATTTATGACCCCCTCCCCCCCTTTCCCCACCTCTGGCTTCAACTTTCTTCGGTTAAATCACGGGGATTTACAGTCGTTTATGTTTGGGGAGTGGATGGACAATCGATTGGGACAAAAACCTTTTTGGAAATTATTTACCTTCGGGGCTTTTCGCGAGTCCGGGGACTGGTCATTTCGGGTTATCATATATTTGAAGAGACACATGTCGGGTTGGGGAGTTTATGATTGGAGGGGGTCTTTATTGGAGATTTGGGGAGGGAGGTTGATCATTTTGGTGGGAGACAGAGAAAAGAATTTCTAGTTTTCCGATTTAAGTTATTGGTTTCAAGGATATTTCAATCACCAAATTTGTCAATTAAATTGCGTGAGAAAATTTTGAAAGGAATAATGAATATTCAGCGTCATTCAAATGACAGTTTTTACAGAATTTTTCTCAAGAACTTGAGAACTGAAGAGAAGACTCATCGGTCTAAAATATCTCTTGGGAAAAAAATTGAAGGAAAATTTCCTAAAATCCTTTTTTCAGGAAATTTCAAAAAAAAATCTCGCAATCTCTATCTCCTCAAATCACATTTTCCAAACCCTGACATCAACCCGGCAATTGTTATTGTTTTTCCAATAACACGTTCTCAGTCTTGAGCGTGTGAGTCCCTCGTCTCCCATTCTCTCCCGCAATTTGCAATTCGATGGAAGCCTTTTAACATACAAACGCCGCGCCCCCCGTTATTGAAATTCCTTCGACATAATCCAAGAAACCATAAATACATTGCAACAAATTTATCCGCATTATCAGTGGAGAGAAACTCAACGACAAAAAAAACTGTGTCGAATCGCGTCATTTTCGTGACGAGAAGTCATTAATAACGCCATTCCCATCAGTGTTATTTTGCTCATGAAAGTTCAATCCCCAAAATGGTCTTCATTGTCGGTGCCTTAACAAGCCTAGTCGTTGCCCACTGGCTCGGTATCATTATTAATATTTCAACGAAGGTAAATGCCGCCGTGTTGCCGTCAGCAGTTCATTTTTAAAATTCGTCTCAACGCTTTTCTTCTCTCTTGTCTCCCTCGTTCCGTCTCAACGTGGACAGAATCTCAGAGGGATTAGTGGACAAACTCCGGAGATTGTGCGGGCTCTACAAGCCTCCTTCGTCCTTATCCCCCGACACTAGCAATTTTTTTTTCTTTTTTCCATTTTAATTCTCATTCTTTT